AGCTGCTGAGAATAGAAAAAATACGTGAAGGCTGTAAAAATTTTGCCCAGACCTTTTCCCGTAACATACATCCTGGGATGACATCAGCACAAGATTAGCCAGAAGGAACCGGTTAACCCAGAGCTCAAGGCTGTGGAAGTTTTACCTAGACTTTCTCCGTTAACGTACCTTCTGAGTTACAAAAAAGCCTGTCTTTGAACAAGAGATACTGTATGTGTCCAAGACAAAAGAATGTGGAAAAGAAAGAATGTTTGCCTCCTCCTTAAAGGGGCCTTCTGCTTGGACTCTTTACCAGCCTGCCTGAAGGGAGCTCTCTCACTGGCACTCTGCGGTGGGTGTTCCCGACCGCCCTGAAGGCGGGTGTGGACGGTGCCCTCTGTGATGCCGCACAGCTGCACGAGTTGCAGAGACTCGCTGGAGCAGCGTCTGCGTGCGCTGGAGCACGAGACGCACGCCCTGAGGACCCAGCTCCCCTGACAGGGAAGTCATGAGCGACCGTGACCACGAGCATTGTGAGACCCGCGCGTCCCTGGTTGGCAGTGAGGCCTGTGGTGCAGCAGAAAGGGAAGCACGAGAAGCCTGTGGCCCAAGGGGCATCCTCGAGGGGGCATCCTCAAGTGGCCCCCAGTGTGAGTGAGTTCACAATGTATCGACCATATGCTCAGGTGGAGTTGGTCGATTTGGGTAAGTGGTTTCGGCAAAGGCAAGGGGAATCCTTGGCAGCATGGCTTTTGTGAATCTGGAATCAGGGGTGAATGGTATTGTTTGTTCTGGGGATGAAATAGACTGGTTGGTGTCTATCACCACTCACCCCTCACTGAGACCGAGCGTGTAGAACTTTGTGAGACTGCAGATCCCTGCCTGTTAGTGAGGCCCATTGTGCAGCTGGGAGTGGGGCGGCAGTATCCGTGCCCACAGCAAGAGGTTGGGTGGGCACGCGGGCTTGCCATGCAGGCCGTGACCCCGGAGACACAGACTCGTGATGTGAGCTGCGAACGCCACAGAAGTCCCCTTTCTGAAGGTGAAGGGGTGGGCCCAGTGCCTGTGGAGGGCTTTGTGGGTCCTTACTGAGAGAAGTGGTGGGATAGCATGGGAGACCCCATTTTGAAAGTGTGAAGAACCCGAAGGGGGCCTGAGCTGGGAGGGGCCCCCTCTGGGATAAGTGTTAGTCACTCAGTCGTGCCCAACTCTTTGCGATGCCATGGGCTGCAACCCATCAGGCTCCTCTGTCCATGAGATTTTCCAGGCAAAGATACCGGAGTGGGTTGCCATTTTTTTCTCCAGGGTATCTTCCCAATCCAGGAATTGAACCTTGGTCTCCTGAACTGGAGGCAGATTCTTTACCAACTGAGCTACAAGGGAAGCCCATGTACATGGATACAAATGTGGGCTGATTGATGCAGAGGTATACTGTGAAGGCCTGTCCCAGACCTAGAGCCGTGTACTGTGGAGGCCTGTCCCAGAGCTGGAACAGTGTACCGTGGAGGCCTGTCCGAGACCTAGAGCCGTGTACTGTGGAGGCCTGTCCCAGAGCTGGAACAGTGTACCGTGGAGGCCTGTCCAAGACCTGGAGCCGTGTAGTGTGGAGGCCTGTCCCACAGTTGGAACAGTGTACCGTGGAGGCCTGTCCCAGACCTGGAGCCGTGTGCCGTGGAGGCCTGTCCTGTGAGGTCCGGGTTGCTCGCCAGGGGAACACTGTGGAACACAGGCTGCATGTAGACTGTGCAGTTGAGAGACCCTGCGGGGGTGGAATGCAGGGAGCGAGCAGCTGGCCAGGTGGCAGTGGTCAGGCCCTCTGGCCCCACGTGTTGTAAATACATGCTTGTGTAACAGCTGAGCTCACGGACAGCACTGCACGTGCACACCACGATGGGCCCGCCTGGCCGCCGGCCACTGTTGTTCTGAAAGCGTATGTGAGCTCCTCCTGAACAAGCCCTTGCCGTATGTCCTGGCTGCGTTTCGGTGTGTCCGCTGGGCCGACCACGAGAGGAGAGGGGACCACACGTCCGCTGCTGCGGCTGCTCTGCCAGTCAGGAGAGCACAAATGTGCCTGCGGTTCCTGCGACTCCTTGAGTTGTCCTCCCGCTTCCCCGCTTGCGCCTGGCCTACCATGGGTTCAATGAACCAGTGAGAATACAGTGAGACAGGTACCTGTTCCAGTCATCACGCCTGTGATGGGTCATGGGAGCTCAGCCCACACCTGCCTCAGCATCTAAGGATCAAGCTCTCGTCTCACATTGTGTAGCATCGTCAGGCTTCCTGTGTTGCTTCGAGTTTTGGCTTGGGCTTGTCTGGAACGTTAAAGACCATTTCTTTAAACATTTGTTTAAACTTGAAACACCACTTCTATGGTGTTTCTCCACGACATTTACCTCCGATTATCCTGTGTGACCTGCATATGTCTTGCCCCACCCTCATGGGTGATTCATTTGATGTGCTTGTTTCTCTTTCACTGAGAAAATAGAAACCATTCACGCTGCCACCACCATCTACTTCCGGCCTGCAGTGGGACTCAGATGTTCTCGGCTCCTGCCTTTCCTCCTCCTCCTTTTTACTGTGCATAAATTTGTGTCTGTGGCCCCTCAACTTGAGTACCTTTCTTCAGAGATTCTGCCTTTGTTGCATTAGTGAGTAAGCAGTAGATCACTCCAACAATTGTGTAACTTCTCTCATGTTAAAAAAATCCCTGTCAACAGTCTGTTTCACATTTCCTTTGTTTGCTGCCCTTTATTATAAAACTCCTGAAAAGAACTACTTTGATTTTGTTCCATTTTTCTCCCTTCTTGATCCATTTCATTTCAGTCAGGGTTTTGTCTCCACCCTTCCAGAAAAACAGCTCTTGTCAAGGTCGCCCATGACCTCCATGTTGCTAAATCCAGTTGTCAGTTCTCAGTCCTCATCTTACTTGACCTGTCAGCAACATTTGACACGGTCGATAATTCTGTTTTCCTAGATAAACTCTCTTCACTTGGCTTTCAGTACATCAGTCTTTTCTTTACAGCTGCTTCTCCATCAGCTTTTGCTGTTTCCTTCTGTCGAGCTGGCTTCTAAATACTGGAGAGCCCAGGGCTCTGATCTCAGACCTCTCTTCTCTCCTACACTCCCCACTACAGTGGAAAGCTCACCTAGTCTGATGGCTTTAGATACTGTCTCCTGCTGCTGAGTCTTTTCTTCCCCTGAGCTGGGCCTCTCCTCCTGGACTGCACAGATTTTTTATATCCAACTGCCCATTCAACCTCTCCTCTCCTGGGTGAATAATATATGTTGAGAATTAGACAGTGTAAACTCTGCTTCTTATTTCTACCCTAGAAGTACTCCTCTTGTAATCTTCCCTGACTCAGGAAATGGCAACTCTGTCTTTCCAGTTTCTCAGGCCAAGAACCCGATGTTTATCCCTGCAAGTCCTGTCAAGTTTGCTTTCAAAACCTCCCTCCTCATCACCTGCACTGCAGAGTCTAGGTGACCTCTCCTCTGGATTACTGAGTGGGTCCTAGTTGTTCTCCCTGCTCCTGTCATCTCCCCTCCTAGTCTAGTTTCCACACTGTGACTGGTTGTTCTCCCTGCCCCTGTCATCTCCCCTCCTAGTCTAGTTTCCACACTGTGACTGGTTGTTCTCCCTGCCCCTGTCATCTCCCCTCCTAGTCTAGTTTCCACACTGTGACTGGTTGTTCTCCCTGCCCCTGTCATCTCCCCTCCTAGTCTAGTTTCCACACTGTGACTGGTTGTTCTCCCTGCCCCTGTCATCTCCCCTCCTAGTTTAGTTTCCACACTGTGACTGGACTAAACCCTTTGCAGTGTGTCAGATCACATCACAACCCTGCGCAGTGGCTATTTACTGCCTAGTCCAAGGTCGTTCTCCGTCTTATGGCCACCAGCCCTTCTTCAGAAATCCATGCACAGGGGAGATCTCTCGGCTTTATCATCCCCTGGAATGGTTTCATTTGAGAGTCTTCAAAATATTTCTGGTATGGTCCACAGTTGCATTAAGCCTTTATTTCAAGCATATTTGGTCGTTAACTGTCATGAGGTCTCCCATTCCTTCACCCATCTTTTTTGCCTGCCATACCCGAGATAAGATAGAAATTAAAGGACTTTAATATTGAAAAACTTTTTGTGCACCTGCTGTTTGTTTTGATATGTGGTATAATTATTGAATAATCCTCAGCCCCACATTGATTTGTGAGGCCTCTTGTTTGTATAACCATGGTATGTAAATTTACAAAAATTAAAACAAATTCTTTTTGGATTTTGGTTGTGCGTGGGGCTCTTTGTTGCTCTGCGTGGGCTTTCTCTAGTTGCGGTGAGCAGGGGCTGCTCTTCGTTGTGGCAGATGGGCTTTTCACTCTGGTGGGTTCTCTGGTGGGGCATGGGCTCCAGGCACTCGGGCTTCAGCGACTGCAGCATATGGGCTCAGCGGCTGTGCCTCGCAGACTCTAGCGCTCAGGCTCAGTACTTGCAGCTCCTGGGCTCAGAGCGAGGGTGTATGGGCTTAGTGGCTCTATGACACCTGTGTCTTCTGGACCAGGTATTGAACCATGTCGTGTTGGCAGGCAGATTCTTATCCACTGTAACACCAGGGAGTCCACATTTTTCTATAATTGAATCTAAATCTTTGATCTGTTAGGTTTCGGTGCCAGCATACTCTTTAAGTGTTATTGAAACTTTAGAGTGTATTTTAATATTTGGTGGGGATAGTAGCATCGCATGAGTTTGCTTTTCAAAATTGCCAGTGATGGTCTCGTTCTTAATAGTTCCATGATTTTAAAACAACTTGGTCAAGTTATGAAAAGAAAAATGTCCATTGGGCTTTTTTTTGGGAATGGTTTTAAACTGACCTGACTAGCTTGTATAAGTTAATACTTCATAATACTTTTTATTAGCTAAAATTTTTACTATGTAACAGATTAAATTATTTTTCCTTATAAATGCCAAAGATGTGTTTTGTTTTACCTAAAAAGGTATGCAAAAAATGTAAATGTGTTAAATTTGTTTTGTTTCAGATCTGTTTCCTTCTTTTTGCTATTCTCTACATCGTCTCCTATTTCATCATCACAAGATACAAGAGAAAATCAGGTGAGCAGACACACTGTGATGAACGCTCTGCCTCTAATGCCATGTGGCCTAGACTTGTTCCGTGGCTGCACGCTACGCATCAGCACGGTTAGTGTGCTCATTGTGCCTGCGATTGAAGCAAGCAGTTGCCTGATACTAAGAGCACTAAAAATAACCTCCAGGGAATCTGACTACTTGCAGGGTCAGTAGTCAGACCCAGGTCTACTTCTTAGCCCTGAGCCCTTGTTTATCCTCCTTCTTATATTCAACTAAGAATAGTCCAGGGCTCTTCAGTGTCTGGGAAATTCCAGACTTTATGAGGATGTTTGGTTCCTCGGCTCTGAATTTGAACATACTCACCCCCATCACCCCCACCCCATTCTTTCTCTCACTACCAGAATACTGTTGCTTTCTAAAGTGGTATAGAATTTAGAGTCTCCATAATACCCTGATGGTGCTAGTGGTAAAGAACCCGCCTGCCAATGCAGACATGTAAATACGACATAAGATTCGATCCCTGGGTCAGGAAGATCCCCTGGAGGAGGGCGTGGCACTCCAGTATTCTTGTCTGGAGAATACCTTCGGACAGAGGAGCCAAGGTGATTCTGGTGGGCTGCGGTCTACAGGGTCACAAAGAGTCCCATGTGACTGACGCGACTTAGCACGCATGCATAATACCATTTAATATTCAATTATGTATTATGTTATTGTTTTATTTTTTCATATGTATCCTTATCTCACCAGGGGGACCATTATATCTTTTTTTAAAATGAATTTTGTGCTGACTTATTCACAGATTTGTATGCCAGAGTTTTGTAAGTAACTAACCATTGTTTTTTTTATAAAATAACTAAAGTAGTTACTTTACTGAAGTCTGTTAAATTTGAGCTACTTCTTTGAAATCACAAGATTTCCACTTGTGATGCTAATAGTAGGTGCCATGTGAATATTTAAGGGTTTCGTATATTAAAGATTCCTTATGTTATCATATTAAACTTTAAGAATTTTTAAAGAAATCAGGAAATAGTGCTTGCTGTAGTGCACTGCTTGGCTTTGTGACTGCACTGAAATACTCTTTGGATTCCTTAATCTCTCAAAATTTTGACGACCTGGGATCCAAGACAGTATCTTAGCTGCTTTAAAAGATATCTTGGCATCTGGCTTCATAAACTATGTGCATTGAACGAGAGAGAGGGAATGAATGGACAGTGTGTTGTTTTAGAGGAAATGAGGGGATGATGAGCGGGAAAACAGGAGACTTACTAGGTGTGTTTAGAGCAGTCACAGAAGAGTGATGCAGACCCTGGGCCGGGTGGTAGAGTGTTGGCGATAGAGCTGAAATGTACGTGAAGCTGTTAAAATGCTCTTCAAGGTGTTGTGGTTGATTAGATGTAGGTGCAACAATATAAAAATTAATTGTGACAATGATACTTTGTGGTCTCTCTGGTTGTAGAAGTATTTTGTGGTCTCTCCAGTAATTAAGAATAGAGTTTGGACTAAGAGAATGGCCCAAATATGCCCTTGTCACTGAAGCAGGTGGGCCCTCAGAATTCCAGAGACCCACACAGAGAGCCTTTGAGGACAACCCCAGTGAGGTACTGAGGAGAAAGAAGGGCTGGGGTGTTGTGTAATATTTTTGTAATTGGATCATAGTTTCCTTAGCTGGTAAGATTATGTGGGAGGACTAAAAAGATGGCCAAGCGCCATGAGAGAGGGAGAGGGTAGGGTGAGGAAGTACCAGAGCAAGGGCCATCTGCTTCTTGAAAAAGACAGAGTGTGGTGTATTTCTCTCTGTACCTGGAACAAGATGATGCCGTGTCGAGGCAGTGGTGTGCAGCGTGGTTTAGGGTAAAGTCCTTATTCTTAACATTACTAACAATAGGCTCAGATTACAGAAAAGTGTGTCAGTTCTGAGATTCTGAATTTTAATTTTATAGTAAATTTTTTTTGGCTATTATCAGCCAGGGGCTTCCTTGGTGCCTCAGATGGTGAAGAATTTGCCTGCAATGCAGGAGACCTGGGTTTGATCCCTGGGTCAGGAGATCCCCTGGAGCAGGGAATGGCAACCCACTACAGTGTTCTTGCCTGGAGAATCCCATGGACAGAGGTGCCTGGCAGGCCACCGACCAGGGGGTCACAAAGAATTGGACACAACTGAGCTACTAACACACATTATCAATCATAAAATTTCATTCATTAGCAGTTTCACTGACTTTGTATTAATAGTCAACCTGAATGTGGTTCCAAGGTTCTGCTGAGTTTTATTTCCCTGAGCACTAAGCATTTGGAAGATTTTAATTTACATATGGGAGTTCTGTTAATCTGGATTTTTTTATCAGTCAAAAGACTCTTCTTGTTCTTTAACCATGTTCTATCCTATCTGATTTAGTGAGATTTAGATTTGGAAAACTGCTTCTTCAGGTTTATATTTTATGTTTTATTAAATTAATGAAGCATTTTGTTGGAAGATAAAAATATTAATGCCTTGAACATTTTTGCAGATGAACAAGAAGATGAAGATGCCATAGTCAACAGGATTTCGTATGTATTTTAATGTTCAGTTCTTGTGTTTCTAATTCTAGAGTCCTGAATTTTCAAAACTTAATTCTGCCCTTTGGGCAGAAATATTGAAAAAATTCACCTAAAGTATTACAGCAACTTTAAAGTATTACAGCAGCTTTTTTAAGAAACTACATGTAAGCAAACACATGGATAATTCTGGACTGATTATCTGTTGAAATTTGCTTGCTTAAGGAGCCAACAGAAGCTCTTGGTCATCTCTCAACCTCTCTCAGCCCAGACCATGAAGTCCTGTTGGCTCTGTCGTCAGAGTGTGCTGCATTTCAGAAGGTGACGTTTCTAGAACTGCCTTCAGTTCTGAGGAACACTTTTCTGCCGCTGTATAAGCAGTCACCATGTCTGCATTTTCTAGCTTGACTCAGGGCCCTACTTTGAGGACGCTTTGTTGGCATTTAGCTCTGCCACATCAGCCTTTTATGGATAGTTCTCATAGCCACTCAAGGGCAGCAGATGGTATGACCCTGTTTTGTATCTCTAAGGCCAGTCACAATACCTTCTAGAAGGTTTTTGACGTAAGGTCCACTGTTATATTTATGGTGACTATATATTCAGGATTTCTGGGTAACTTTTGATTTAAAAAACATTTGGTGTCCTCATACACTTACTCCTTGGTCACATACACCTCCCAGCTTTAGACTTGGAAGCCACGGTGGGCCTTTACAGCTGGGCTGCTGGCCAGTGTGCTGAGGGCCAAGAGGGAGAGGGGCTCGGAAGGCTTCATGGGGCAGAGGACACAGAGGGGCCCCGAGGGCGGGGGCTGGCTGCCCAGACACCCGGAGCCTGAGAGCCCGCTCCCTGTGAAGAGGCGGGTGAGCCTGACAGTGTGTGGGCCCTGTCGTGGCCAGGGGAGCTCGGGGGGCTGGGCTGGGAGTCTCGTGCAGGACCTGGGAGCGGGGCCTGTGGGTGTCAGGGACGAGCAGTGTGGCCGTCACAGTTGGAGGGCAGAGATGCAGGTCACAGGAGGTTACTTGGGGTAGGTGCCTGAGTTGGCAGTGCACCTGGGATGATGTGTCCCCACTTTTCCCAGGAAACAGGCTGCCTGTCCAGCAGAACCACTTTGTAAGCCTTCTCCTGTGTCTGAGTTGCACTGTATTTTTGACAAGTATCATATGGTCTACAATAAGAAATTTATCAGTGATTTGCTAAACAGGGGAGGTTATCTTTGGCTTTTAAGTAGGAAAACACTTCTCTTGGTTGCCACAAGATGGCACTGGCCTCAAAGTTACTCTATTAGATGTGTTTTGAGCATTTAGTATGATTTTTTTTTTCTTATATTTTCTTACATGTATTTTCACATTCTTTCTACATTAAATTTAATGGAAGGGATATTAAAATTTCATCTCTCATTTTAGTGAGGGAGGTTCCATTTTCCTTTGCCATTTTAGTCTTCAAAAAACTTTAAAAATTAGATATAAAATTTTAAGCATTTTGGACGTGTATAACTGAGAAAGTGAAAGCCCCTTATGGGCCTTCTCCTAGGCGTTGTTATATATTAAGCTAGATTTTTTTAATGTACCTCTTTTCCTGTGTGAAAATATACATGTTGGGGGAAGGGGATGGGAGAGAGCATGGTTTATATTTATTGTCTGTGCTTTTTCTTTTTAACTTAATTTTAGACATTTTCCATATTACACATTTTGAGCTATATTATTTTTAAAAATGACAAAATCATCTTTTAAATATTGTTTAATAGTTTCCTACAATTTATTATAAATTTATTTAACCTTTACCTATTTTAAGAGATAGTAGACCAATGGCTTTGTAAGTTTTTTTTCCAGAAATAACCCTTAAGTCGTTTTTCGTACTGTTTTCACAAGTATTTTTTTCACCTGAAACAGTTGTTGCGTTGCTCTTAGCATATATTGCCAGCATTGTTAATTAAATGCAATTGTGAAACAAATACTTAAATTTAAAAGAAGAATGAGGCTACAATTTATTCTTCACAAAATGTGTGAAGTACTCTGTCTCCAGTCTATGTGTGCTTTAGGCCGACTTGGTAGACTTAATGGTCTTTTCACAGAGTAAGTTTTAGAGTTGGTCTAGTTTAACTTCTGGGACCATAGGTATATCATTTGTTTTCCAACTGCATATACTCCATGAAATGCACATTAATTCTTTTTGGATTTAAAAACTTGAAGAGTTTGGTTCTGTTCTTTTTGAATGACTTCTGTAGTCTTTGTTTTTTCCAGTCACTGGTGACATTGACTCTCCTCTTCCAGGTTGTTTCTGAGCACGTTCACTCTGGCAGTGTCGGCTGGAGCAGTCTTGCTTCTACCCTTCTCAATAATCAGCAATGAAATCCTGCTTTCTTTTCCTCAAAACTACTATATTCAGTGGCTGAATGGCTCCCTGATTCATGGTTAGTATATATGTCTTAATATAATCACAATTAGTGTTTTTATTTTATACTGTACTATATTTAAAATTTTTCCTTTTCTTATTTTCCATAAAAATATGGGTCTTCCTTCAGTTAACTATTTGAGTCCTTCAGAAAATCAGAAAATCAGATTTTACTTACTAGTCTGATTCTTAGTTGTGAAAAGCTTTTCTATAAGAAGCAGCGTTTATACTGTGATTTTGATAGATACATTTTCATTTAATTATTTAGCAAGAGAATTTTGATTTATCTGGATATGTCAGAACTCAACCTCCATTTCAGACCTTAAAAAAGAAAAACTTACCATAGTTTCTATTTTATTTATTTGCTGTTAATTTCTTTAGTCATTTCAGAATGTGTGATAGAAGGGGGAAAAACTATTCTGTCAAGGACAGACTTTAAAATTTGTTTTTGTTGTTGTTCAGTTGGCAAGTCTTGTCTAACTCTTTGCGACCCCATGGCCTGCAGTACATCAGTCTCCTCTGTCATCCACTATCTCCTGGAGTTTGCTCATACTTATGTCAGTTGAGTCGATGATGACATCCAACCATTTCATCCTTTGTCGCCCCCTTCTCCTGCCTTCAATCTTTCCCAGCATCAGGGTCTTTTGCATTGAGTCAGTTCTTCTCATCAGGTGACCGAAGTATTGGAGTTTCAGCTTCAGCATCAGTCCTCTCAATGAATATTCAGGGTTGATTTCCTTTAGTATTAACTGGTTTGCTCTCCTTGCTGTCCAAGCGACTCTCAAGAGTCTTCTCCAGCACCACAATTCAGAAGCATCAATTCTTTGGCACTCAGCCTTCTTTATGGTCCAACTCTTACATACATACATGACTACTGGAAAAACTATAGCTTTGACTATGTGGACCTTTGTCAGCAAAGTGGTGTCTCTGCTCTTTAATATGCTGTCTAGGTTGGTCATAGCTTTCCTGCCAAGGAGCTGCAGTCGTTGTCCACCGTGATTCTGGAGCCCGAGAAGATAAAATCTGTCACTGTTTCCACTTTTCCCCCTTCTGTTTGCCACAAAGTGATGGGACCAGATGCAATGATCTTTGTTTTCTGAATGTTGAATTTTAAGCACCAGCTTTGTCACTCTCCTCTTTTGCCTTCATCAGAAGGCTCTTTGTTCCTCTTGGCTTTCTTCCATAAGAGTGGTATCATCTGCATATCTGAGGTTATTGTTATTTCTCCTGGCAATCTTGATTTCAGCTTGTGCTTCATCCAGACCAGCATTTTGCATGATGTACTCTGCATATAAGTAAAATAAGCACAGTGACAACATATAGCCTTGATGTACTCCTTTCCCAGTTTTGAACCAGTCCATTGTTTCATATCTGGCTCTAACTGTTGCCTCTTAACCTGCATATAAGTTTCTCAGGAGGTAAGTAAGGTGACCTGGTACTCCCATCTCTTTTAGGATTTTCCCATTTTGTTGTGATCCACACAGTCAAAAGCTTTAGCATAGTCAATAAAGCAGAAGTAGATATTTTCCTGGAATTTCCTTGCTTTCTCTATGATCCAGTGAATGTTGGCAATTACATCTCTGGTTCCTCTGCTTTTTTCAAAATCCAGCGTATATATATCAGGAAGTTCTCTTGTCATGTACTGTTGAAGCCTAGCTTGAAGGATTTTGAACATTACTTTGCTAGCATGTGAAATGAACACAGTTGTATGGTAGCTCTCAGCATTTTTTGGCATTGCCCTTCTTTGGGATTGGAGTGAAAATTGATTTAAAAATTAATGTGGTTAAAACAATAATCACTTATTTTGGCAATGTGGTATATTGCTTTGAAGCAAAATAGATCTAAATTTCAATCTTGGCTCTGTGAGTTTCTGGACATGTTTAATGAGGTAGAACATTTAAATTTGTAAAACATATACAGAGATCTAATACATATATCTTTTTTATGTGTTTCATTGTCTTTTGCCCACTTTTTTCCATATTGAATTATGTTATCTCTTTATGTGTGAAACACATCAGCTGTTTACCAGATTTTTGTAAATATGTTTTTCTGGTTATTTTACTTTTTAATTTTGTGTTTTTGGTTGCAGGCTTTTTGCTTTTTATGTGTCCAGTCTTTTTCTTTCTTTGGTTTCTGTAATTGTTTTTGTATTTAGAAGATGATCTCCCTTCATGAGATGTGACAAATACTCCTTTTTTTCTTGTTGTTTAAAAAATGGTTTTATTTGCACATAACTGTTTAATCCATTTGGAGTTTATACAGATAACTACCTTTATTCTTACCCCTTTGTGTTTGTGTTTAAAGAAATACATATTTGCTGTAGAAAATTTGGAAAGCAAAATTTGTAGTGAAGAAAATTAGTATTACATTCTCACAATCCAGAGAATTACTGTGAATACTGTTACCTAAACCCTTGGATATTGTGTGTGTGCATGTGAACACATAACTGAATAAATAATGAAATGGAACCCTAATGGAATTCAATAGATGGGAAATTTCCCCTTTTAAATTTACATTTCTTTAATTACTAGTGAGGGTAGGCATTTACAAAGCACATTTATTGGTCATTTGTATTTATTCTTCAGTAAATTGCCTCCCTGTATTTCTTGTGTCCATTTTTGCAAGTTTTTAAGTATTAACTGTCAGGTTAATTGCAAATGTCTCCTTCCCAGTTGTCTGTTAATACTGCTTATCCTGTTTGTTGACAAGAAGAATTTTGACACTTTAGTCTGTCGGGTATTTTACCCTGGGCTTGTGCTTTCTGTCACCTTTGGAACTGGAAACAAATGGAGTCACTGATGCCTGAAGACAAGATGAAGTCAGTAAGGTTAGGACTAGTTGTCAAGTGAATAATTACTCCGTTTTTGTTGCTTAGCAATTGAACTCAAGCAAATTAAGGTCTTTACTGAAATTGATACAAAAAGTAAGCCATCTACTGGAAAGTCACTATGAAAGGTAGAAACAACCTGGAAAGTAAGGTGAGTTGTATTTCTCAATGGCAGGTTCAAAAATGTATTTATCAGTGATTTTTCTGGTGAATTACTTTCAGATAACAGTTTGTTACTAACAAGTAGTTAGATAATATATGATTTGCAAATGTTTTTGGCACATGTTGTCTGAAATGCTTGTTGAGGACTCTTCCCTTTGGCCCTTGCTTTCCATAAGGCTGTCGGTTCTGTGGTGCATGCATTTTGAGGATTGGGCTCCAGGTGTTTTCCCAGAAGTGCAGGTCTCAATCCAGGCTAACCATAATTATGAGGGAACTGGCTTTTGTTTCCAGTTTTACCAAACAGAAAATGCACGATATACTTAATGACCTTTAGATAATCTAATCATAGCCATTTGTTTATTCTTTTAATGGACTGAAAGTAAGAACTATCAGTACACTATGTGCTATGTATTTATGCTGGAGTCTTAACGTTGGAAGTAAATGTATTTGTATTGGTTGCCTTCTGGTTATAATGTAAGAGGTGTAAGCTCAGGCATTGTTTTTTGTTTATGAATTAGGGCTTAGAAAAGTGCTTCCCACGTAGTGGTAGCCCAGTAAACGTGTGTTTAATGAGTGGGTAAGCTGTAAACAGTAGCTTTAAGCTCCAGTGACCACGTTGGCTGAAAGTTGGGGAGCTAGAGGAGGAGCCCCTAAGTTACGATGTTGCTTCTAGATACATTCTCATGGTAGGCCTTAGGAAGTCCTAGCCGCCAGTGCTGGACGTTGTTCTCGAGGGTTTCATGAGCCTCACTCTGTTTCTGCTTCTGGTTTTTTGGTAGAGCTGCTTGTAGTGAATTTCATAAAGTTTCATATTTATCTTTCTCTTCTGAATTCGTAGTTGTGTGTAATCTTGTGGATGACATCCAAGGAGTGTTTGTTTCTTTAGATTGTCTTGGGGTTGAAGATTTGTCAGCCTTAGATATGCTTGCTTCTTTGTTTTTTTAAAGTTACAAGCATTATTGGGGCCAGACTGTCACAGCGGAGCATCCAGGGTGTAGTTCAGCGTGAGGCTGAAGGCAGTGGTGACAGGAGCCGGGTCGGCTGTGGAGAGTGTATGTCTGCGTTGCTGTGGCTGCACGTAACCTCCGTCCTGGGCACCGTGGCCACTCTTTCGTGCACTCCCTGGGTGATGGTAGGTGGCTCCGGGAGGAGGCTGATGGGTTCTGTGAGACTAGGACAAGGTCATCTGTCCACTTTACTATGATAAGACTCCTCTGTTGAGGTCTCCTTTTGATGGGATGCAAATCAGTTCACATTTTTTTCCCATTCAAAGTGGACTGTCTGCACCCCTCTTTTCCAAATCTCCTTGTTACTGGTTTTCCAGTCATGCTCCTTCCAAGTCCCTGACCTTCCAGCTGAGCCACAGGCCAGTATGAATGTATAATCATGTGTCTGGCTGTTCCTGAGCAAAGTGAGTGGTCAGGTGCACTGCCCAAAGTCCTGTCCAACGGGAGGATTCTCCATCACTGCTGGCCTTTGTAGATGTCCCAGGGAGGGCTGTCCCCCTGGGGGCGGTGTCTGCATGTTTGGCAGACCCGTCTGCAAGCCAGGCCCCATCTTCTCTTCCTCTGCCAGCTGATCAGAAGGAATGCCCACCAGGCCACAGGTACAGTCCAGCTAGGGGAGAGAAGTGGGGACTGTGGGCATCTGGGCCACTTTCATGTGGCTTTCTCATGCCTTCAGGGCCTGCTCAGGCACGATCACCAGTTGCATCTGATGTTGGGGTGTTGCTGTGCACATCGACTTTATGGCTTGGCACGCCCACCAGTTCATGATGGCTCACTCAGGTTGCATGGTGACTTGGTGACCCACAGTTAAGTGTTCAGTCTCTACTAAGCCTGACAGCAAGCCAGTAACTTTCTCAGAGGGAAGGTAGTAGTTACCTGCATGGGGGTGGCAGGACTTTGTCCCGAAATCCCAAGGGCCTTTGCTGTGATTCCCCTCCAGGGTTTGTCATGGGCTCTGAACATCATCCTCTCTGCTGCTGACACTTCCAGCACCATTAGATCTGCTGGGTCATAAGGCCAAGG